CTCTGTAACCCCCTGAAGCCCCTACACCCCTCCCTATCTCTGTAACCCCCTGAAGCTCCTACACCCCTCCCTGTCATGACAAGAAATGGGATAACTGACCTCTGTTGTTTGGCTTTATTCGCATACCTGTCTATATTTTCTTTCATTTCCATGGTATTTGTTACATGAGGATTTTCATTTTACCAATGTTTTCAAACTGCCGTGTAACATTGAAACGGGAACAAACCTCGTGTCGTTTTTATCTAACAGATAGTGGGCCTGTTTATTGTGCTAGAATATCTAGCAAAACAATACCTGTAAAAAGCATGAAAATAAGTTTCGAATGATCCAAGTTTGTACAATTACACTTCTTGTGCGGTAACACACTCTAGACTCATTTGGCGAATGACACAGACAAATTCTGAACAATAACGCAATAAGTCTTTCATAGTTTATCCCAGGTCACTGGTTTTCATCTGAAATTACTTTCCGCACAAGCTGTTGCTTGGATTTCTTCCTGGATCTGCTGTGGTTGGCTGAAGTCTCTTTATTTGGAGAGAGTGACAGTCGATAACAAACCAGAACAGAAATTGCTGGGGGTCTGCCAGTATCTGTGGAGAGACCACCGCGCTAACATTTTGAGCCCAGTGACCATCCTTCAGTTCTGAACACTGGCTTTCTCCCCTTAGACGCTGCCAGAGCTGCTGAGTTCCTCCAGCAATTTCTGGTTTTTGTTCATTTTAGATCTCCAGAGCCCGCAGTTCCTTGTTTTATTTCGGTGGACATAGCTTCTGCCTTCTCCTTTCGAAAGTCTTTGGCTGTTGCAACGAAGATTCCACTCTGTCAGAAGACGCCACTTGCATCTAAAGACATATCTCTTTCGGCTTGCGACTCTCAAATTTGGAGAGAGTGGTTTCTGAGAAGGAGACAGAGAGAGAGAGAGAAAGGGCATTGGTTGTTTTGCCACTCCTAGTTATCTCTCTGACTCTCCGTGTTCCACATAATAAATGTATCTTTCGTTCAAACACTGAGCTGCGTGTCCTCTGTGCAAAGTTTACTCTCTCAATCTGAACGGTTGCTTTTTGCAAATGAGACGGTGTCCCTGCAGTTGTTTCTGCAATTTTGCAAAGTGTTATTGCCAAAGAAGCCAAGATGTATATATGTTTGCTCAGTGAGTAATACCAGAAATAAACATTTTGGGTCACACGTCTTCATAGCAAGGTGGAAATTGCTAAAGCAGAGTGGAAATAGAAAGATAAATGCAGTTGAGTCAAGCTATGCCCCGTCTTTTGACTGACAGCCCAGAAACAGAACTTCTGCTAAGGTTAGCAAGCAAAGGTCTCTGTGGAAAGATCACTGTTCTGTCCGGCAGAACAGCTGGTCTCAGATACTAGAGTTTCGGTCTGATCCTGCTGTTGATTCAGGTCCCTGGGAATATAGCAGAAGCGTGTGTTGTACAGTTGGAAGGGACAGAGAGGGCTGGAAGCTGTGGCCTTGGACAAAATCCCAAGGCAGCAGTTTCAGCGTTGACAGACTACACCAGAGCACTGAAAGGGGTTGTGGAAGAGAGTCACATATCATGATTATTTTCGCCATGCACCTTGTCAGTGTAAACAAAATCCGTGGAATTTGGTTGGAATACAGCTCTTGACCAATGCGTCTGAGGGGCCATCTTCTTGGGTGTGGACTGAGAAGATAAGTGCCCATCTCTGTCACCTCCTAACGATATTAAGTGCAGAGTGAGAACGTGTGTTAGAAAGACAGTGAGATTGCAAGTGGTGCTGCATTTTTCTGCCAGAGCTTGGAACCAAATGAGGTATTTACGTCTCTTTCTATTTGGAATACCTTTCAGCTGTTAATGACTGTTTGGGCAATATCGATTCAAATTGATTTGTTACAGTAAAAGTTGAAAACGTGTGAAGTCTGGTCCATTTGATTTTCCTTTCCATTGGCATCACAGGGATTTCTCTACAAGAAATCATCGATCTCTGCGGGGGTCAGGACATAAGGGCGGCACAGTGGCTCAGTGGTTAGCACTGCTGCCTTACAGTGCCAGGGACCCGGGTTCGGTTCCAGCCTCAGGCAACTGTCTGTGTAGAGTTTGCATGTTCTCTCCGTGTGCTGTGTGGGTTCCCTCTGGGTGCTCCAGTTTCCTCCCACAGTCCAAAGATGTGCAGGTTAGGTGGATTGGCCATGGGAAACGTGAGGTTACGGGGATAGGATAGGATGCTCCTTGGAGGGTCAGTGCAGACCTGATGGGCTGAGTGGCCTCTATCTGCAATGTAGGAATTCTAGGACACAATGATACTGCAAAGAGATACGGACTGGTTAAGTGAGTGGGCGCTGAGATAGTAGATGGAGGATCACTGAGGAGACATGGAAACATACAAAATTATGAAGAGAATAGATAAGATAGAAGCAGGGAGGTTGTTTCTACTGGTAGGTGAAACTAGAACTGGGGGGCATAGCCTCAAAATAAGAGGGATCAGATTTAGGACTGAGTTGAGGAGGAATGTCTGCACCCAAAGGGTTGTAAATCTGTGGAATTCCCAGCAAAGCTGTTGAGGTGACCTTGTTGAATGTTTTTAAGGCAAAGATAGATAAATTTTCGAATAGTAAAGGAATTAAGGTGGACACAGAATTTGTAAGTGAAAGATCAAAGGGTCACACCACTGATGAGGATGTATTAAACAAACCTGAGGTGCTGTTAAATCTTTAATCAGTTAGAAGGTTTTATTTGATTGATATGTATATGTAAACCTCCAAATGTTTTTCAAGTCACTGCCCTGAGAGAACTAAAGGTTTTATCAGTGTAAAGAAGAGGTTACATTTTAGGACAGACAATGTACACTAGGTATGAGGCCTTGTTTAGAATCTCTTGGTGTTTGGTTTGGAGTCAGACTGGTTTTGTTTCTAAAGTAGAGATTAATAAAATGCCACATTGACTGTCTATAAATTGTGTGCTTTTTGTACAAAATACAAATTCAGATTCGTGTGTGTGTGTGTTTGAGGGGGGAGGGGGAGAGAGAGAGTGTGTGTCTGTGTGTGTGAGAGAGAGAGAGTTGGGAGAGAGACTGTGTGTGTGAGGGTGGTGAGAGAGACAGTTTATGTGTGGGGAGGGGAGAGAGAGAGAGTGAGTGCGTGTGGCAGTGGGGAGAGAGAGAGAGTGTGAGTGTGTGCATGTGTGTGGGGGTGGGGAGAGAGACTGTGTGTGTGAGCGAGGGGGAG